CTTGTCTATCTGGAAAATCTGCGGCTGTACGCCAGGACTTTCCTGGATAACTAAACTCCAGGCCCTGTCGAGATTAATTATACTAGCAGTTCATCTTAGAAAGCGTATTGCAGACGTTTTGCCGGGGATCGAAGTTTTTCTGTCATGACCCACGACTCATGACCGTAGATGAGCATGGAGAGGAAAATCGACTTGAACAGAATGAACTTAGTTTTCAGAGTCAGCTCTGTTTTAATCACTTCCACTAAGCAAAGTACGCCTTGAGCACTACTGACCTACCTGATTTCCCGGTCTACCTCATTTTCCCATTTTCCATCACCATTAAACACGACCTCGAGTACATGAACTTCTTCCGTTTTTGACTATTCTTCCATTTATTTGCACAGCACATTCTAAGAGGATGAGAAAGCAGGCTTTTTATGTTATACACGTTCACACACATGCCCGCCACATTGCGTTCGGCTGCGAATCTTTCTGGAGAACCCTGGAGATCAGTTTCAGCAGATGCCAATAAAACAAGGTCGTCTGCAAACAGCAACCTAACTGTCTCGACATCCTCTAAGCTGATACCCTCATCGCCTTGGCTTCGTCGTAATATACCACCCATGTACAACACAAACAGGAGAGAGGACAACACGCTGCCTTGGCGGAGACCAGTGCCAACGCTGAAAGTTTTCGATTGAACTCCATTTACTCTAACGCGGCATATACTATCAGCATATAGTGATTGGATGGTCCATAGCAGTTGGTATCCCTTCGCAGGCATACTCATAGTCTTTTGCGCGGGATCCGGTCATAGGCTTTCTCCAGATCAGCAAAGCGCCAGTAAACCGGAGGAGCGAACTCCTACGATTTTCGCAATAATATTGCATAAGGAGAAGATCTGGTTCGGGTGCTGCCGCTTCACCTTAATTCACAATGTCCTCCTTGCATCTTAAAGTCAACTATTCCGCCGCACCTCCTTTCCAGCACGTTTGCATAGACTTTACCTGGGAGGCTCAACAAGGTAATGCCCCTATAATTGGAGCACTCCTTATCGCGTACCTTCAACAGACATTACCAACCGAGTTCTCCAGCCCACGCGGTCTTTCCTGTAGTTGTTGCAGGTTGACAGGCGCGTGTAAGCAAGTATATGCCTTGTTCGCCTAATGCTTTGAGCATTTCAGAACGGAGTTCATGGATTCCGGCAGCCTTGCCACCTTTCAAGCTGTTTACAGCGTCTGTGATTTGATCTATTCATCTGTCCATTGCCTGCTTGTCTTCCTACGATAGTTCCGAACAATATGTTCTCATCCTCGGTTAGAGACCCTCCAGTCTTGTCCTTTAGGGCTATCTGATTGCCCTTCTTTCCAGATTGAAGACGACAGATGATCTCACAGAACACATTGTTTGCCATCTGGATACTCGATTCTAGCACCAAAGCGAACTTCTCCCAGGAATTGGATTTCATTTCGCTGCCACTTTTCGAACTTCGTACTGCATTCGAGTTGAAGGCTTTTAATTCCAAGCCACTTCTTGAATGCAGTTTTTTTGACTGACAGCGAGTTAAATTTTTGCTATCCACCTTTCTGCTCCCAGGCGGTCGTCCAACCCGTTTGAAACCGTAGCTTTTGGTGGCAGCCTCGAGTGTGCCGCTTCTAAAGAGCTGCCACTCGGTTTCAACGTCAGTTGTCA